CCGATTTCAGGCATTTGTCGGCGATTTCGCAAAACCTGTCGGCGAGTGAAAAATCGAGCTAAAATCGTGCAGTGTGAACTCGGCATAAGGGAGCACTGAGGACTTATAAGCAAAACCCAAACAAAGGGAAGTAATGAGATGATTAATACAACACAGGTGATCTGAATGAACGATGATTAACTAAAAGAGAACAGGAACTGAACCAAATAAGGGCAGACAGAAACTAAACAGAAACAAACACGTGACAGTGTGTATATTTATATATACATAATAAATAAACACAGTACACATACATATATTATGTAAACAAAAACGTTTATTTTGGATGCGATTAATCGCGATCAATCGCTTGACAGCGCTAATATATAGGTCCCACTTTATATCAAGTGGCCCTAATACCGGTGTACTTACTTAGTAACTAGATGTGTATGTAGTATGTAACCACAGTGTAAGTACACATTGGTACATAGTATCTACAGCTGTAATGTTTGTGCTACACATATGTAACAACCCACTGAATGGTATGTGTAAATACAAATGTGTAACAGGACATTGGTAACAACACTTTTTGGTAATTAAAGTACAAATGTGTAACATGACTAACAGCACTTTTTGGTAAATAAAGTGTTACACTTTAAATTAGATTTATCATGTAATTACTCTGATGTTACACAGCAGCGGCCAGTAAGTTAGGCTTTACATATAAATTGTGGTTGGTGTCCAGAATGTTACACTTTATATTAAGTGGACAGTTCCTGAGGAGTTACCATGTAAGTACACTGGTATTACAGTGGTGCACCAACTCGAGATCCAACTCCTCCCACTTTACACATCCCTAACCCTACCCATCTCCACCCCCTGGATCAAATGGTTCCAATTACTCCTATGCATATTGTTGTTGCAAAATGTAGTTATATATGTCCTGTTACACATTTGTACTTGCACTAACCATTCGGAGGGTTGTTACATGTGTGTAGTTACAGAAATATTACAGCTGTATTATGATACTATGTACCAATGTGTACTTACACTGTGGTTACATGCTACATACACATCTAGTTACTATGTAAGTACACCGGTATTAGGGCCACTTAATATAAAGTGGGACCATATATATATGCTTTATGTATTTAAATGTACAGTATAAATGATAAAAATTGTATAAACATTTTTTTTTGTGAATACAGACATTACTTTTCTAAAAATCTGATCAAACTACATTTCATAAGGATTTTTTTTTCTTTCATTATATTCAACATTTGTAATGATTCTCTTCATATGTTTGAATATATTTCATTATAGTAATGCTTAATTTCATCTTTAAACATTAGTCTAAATACTCCTAATGATGACTTAGAGAAGTTTTGAAGGGCTCAGATAATTTGGAAATCTATTATCAAAACATGCTGAACTCACTCATCAGTCCAAACATAGAGAAAGTCATATATATGGCAGCAAAATAACAAATCAAACAATAAAACTGGGCTGTTTCATTCTAGAGGTCAAGTAGAATAAATTAATTTGTTACTTTTGGTGCAAAATCACCTTGACTAATATTTTAAATGGACTTTAGCAGATAAGAAAACTGAAATATTGTGCGATATGTGTCCTATAACTTTATTGTCATGAGCTGCCTAAACACCGGTATCAGAGACTGTCATGCGCAGAAGTGGATAGTGGTGTCTTGTCGGTCTGGAACGCAGAGTAAAAGCTGATGTATTTGGGTAAAGAGTCTGTTTGTGAGCACGAGAGCAAGGGGAGGTTTTCATGGCTTGACCCCCCGCCACACAGACACTTATTCTGAGGAAGAGAGCCGTTTCTCCCGGCACACACAAACACACACACACACACACATATGTAGTCATCGGTGTGGGACGGAACATACAGACAGCTGACGTTATGTTCACATGTAGAAGAACAAACTGAACTTCCAAACACACTCATACACTGGAACCAAGAGTGCGGGATTTAGGGGTTGTTTACACAACACCGTCTTCAATTCAAAACTGAAATCTTTTTGTTATGCCATTGGGCTAGATGTACTAACAGCTTGTGCCAACCGTCTTTGCCGTTAAAATAGTACTGTCAGGATTTACTAAAGAAGCGCATTGAAGAATTAGCGCTGAAAAGGCGTGGACACAGTTATTTTTGCGCCTGATCTTATTGAATATGCATTTGTAGGAGTTTACCTTTCAGACGCAACATTTATGGCAGGAGAGTATTAAAATGAATCACGCAACGCAATTTACTAACGTTTGCACTCGTCAAATTACTGGTGTTTGTGACAAAATTTAACGCCCCAAAAAAAATGTCTTAAACTATTTTGCGCCTGTGTCGTAAGTAGATCACCCGCACCTGATGAGCATCGGCTCTGCTTATTTGCGACTACACTAATTTGCGCTGCGCTTGTTATATTGTGTTGGTCAATATGTAAATGAGATGTTGAATCTGTGTTCTTTCATTTCTGCATTGTCAGTAAATCGCCCAGAGAAATTTCCACGCCCATCGGCGCTGTTTTGGAATTGCGCTCTTACGCTAATTTGCCCTGTTTAGTAAATCTGGACCATTGTCTGTACACGAAACTTCCAAAAAAAAAAAAAAAAAATGGTAAGAAACATTAAATTAAACATTAATTTTGTTTTAAGTAGAAAGAATGATATAGTATTTTCTCATACAACATACTCATACTTTTAAAATTTACTTTTAACTTAAAATAAATGTGTATCAATGTGAAAAATTTGCATTTATAAAAGGAGTTCAATTGAATCATGTTCTGTTGGGATTAATTGGATTCAGTACAGTTGAGTTAAGAGTTAAATTTATTTGAATTCAGTTTTGTTGGGTTGGGTTGAGTTGAGTTGAGATTAATTGAATTCAGTTATGTGAAGTTGGTTGGGTTAAGATGTTGATTTAAGTTCAATTCAATTGAATTTGATGTTGGTTTGAGTTGAATTTATGCATTTGGTGGACACATCTATCCAAGATGAATTGCAATTAGTTGGGTTGAGCTGAATTTAATTAAGTTGAGTTGAGTTATGCAGAGTTTGGCTGAGCTGAATTCAGTTCAGTTGTGTAGGTGTGAGCTGAGCTCAGTTGAGTTGTGTTGAGTTATGCTGGGTTGAATTCAGTTGAATTGAATTTAATTGAATTGAATTGAATTGAATTGAATCGGGTTGGGTTGTTTTGTTGGGCTGAGGTGGATTTAGGCATTTTGCAGATACTTTTATCCACGGCTGAATTCAATTCAGAGTTGAGCTGGACTAAATTCAGTTGATTGAGTTACGTTGGGCTGAGTTGAGATTAGCTGAATCAAAATTAATTCAGCTGAGTTGAGACGTTGGATTAGAAGTTGTGAGAAGTTGATTTTGAGCTGAATTATATTTGAAATAAATATTTTTGTGGAAACCTTGATGCATTTTATTTTTCAGGATTCACAGATGAACAGAAATTTCAAAAGAATGGCATTCATTTCAAAATAGAAATCTTTTGTAACATTATAAATGGTTTTACTGGCAGTTTTGATCAATTTAATGTCATTTGTTCATATTTTGTCAGTATTACTAATACTAATTGTTATGATGTCTTGAGAGAGAAGATCACAAAACAACAGAAGTATTTACACAGTCTTTACTGTCACTCAAACTCGTGTCGCGGCCGTCGAGAGCAAAGACTTCCACATCGCTGATCGCTCACAGTCTCATAGAAACTCATAGAAATCTCCTTCTTTCTCTCTCGAAATGAATCGACGGCTTTTCTCGGATTGTCAGCTGTCCAATAATCTCTGACCTTTCAGACGCCTGCAGTTCAATTACTCGCCAAACGAACGCTTCCCACTTTCAGCCGCCGCTGATGGTGATGAACTTTACGGCGGCGTGTTTCCTCATTCCCTCCGCTGGCTGATTCCTGAGATTAGACTGATGGGACGAGCGAGGCGCTTTCATCTGAGTTTGTGTGGTTTTAAATTGAACTGCTTTTGTTTTTCAGCTCCTGAGTCCTCAGGATCTTCGCCAGGGCTTTCAGAGGTAACGTGCCGTGGCTTCTGTGCATGTGTGCATGTGTAAGCGTGTTCGGCGGCGGGCCGACCTGCTGACGGTGTGCAGGTGTAGTGCTTTAGCAGCAAAACCATCTCACACACACACATACACGTTGTCTAGTTGCCGATTGTGAAATCATTGTGCTGAGCTTTTGTTCTCTCTAAATCTTGACCATCCAATCAGAACCGCCGCTGAGCTGTGACTGACAGTGATGAATGCCCGCCCCGATCCCATCAGCTCTGTTAGCACGAGCAAAGCATGCTGGGAGCATCTCGACAGAGACACTGGCACGTCATTAATACAAACTCTGAGGAAACAAACAAAGGCAAACTGAACTGTTTTATACACCTACAGCACGATCCATCAGCGCAGAGAAACTCGCTCAGACATCAGCTCATTCTTCACACGGCTTACAGACAGAGTGTGTGTGTGTGTGTGTGTGTGTGTGTGTGTGTGTGTTTGGATTATATTGCAAGCTTCGTTCAGAATGATTTTGCCTGTGAAGAAAAATGAAAAGTGCAGAGAGACAAATCAGAGTTGCAGGAAACATCTGCCAGGTTTCTTTTCATGTGTGATTTCCAAAGCTTGCTTTGTTTGCCAGAGAAGCAAACCACTAACTGAACTACATAATAGAAATATTTAGAGGATTTCATGGAATTTTTGTGACTGAATTTGCTGCAGCACTTCTGAAAAACTGTAGCGATATTTGTGGAAAATGTTCATTGTTGTTTTGCAGTGAAAATAATCAAGAAGTACTTATGGAACTAGAATTAGTGACAGTAATAGTTACTTCTAGATGATTCCTGACATCAGCTGTGGTTATGCATTCGTTCAAAACATTAAAACGTAAAATAATGTACTTTGATAAGTCCACTGGTAAATCAGGCATTATGAGGACTAGCAAATATTCACCCCATTTTACAATATATGGAGTATATATAGTAGTTAAATGCTAATAAATTATAAAAATAAACTTTTATTTTATGTCATGTGCTTAACACAAATGGGTCTCTCATGCAGAAATAAGGGAAAATGCTTACATTTTGGAAGAAATATTGATTAAACCAATTATCGGTCAATTTCTAATATTGCTTCCCCTTTCCTCGGGTTAACTTAAACCGTTAAATCATAATAAGACATTTAACAAGCTGCTCACATGAATAAATAAATCATCAGGTTTGTTAGGGTTAGAAGGATTGCTGACAGGTTGGGATTGGTTTAGGTTAGATTTGGTTAGGTTTAGACTAGGTTTGGTTAGTTTAGTTATGGTTTAGGTTTAGTTATGGTTAGATCTATGTCAGTGTGTGTGTGTGTGTGTGTGTGTGTGTGTGTAATTTGCCAGTTCACTAGGATCTAGTTGTGGTTTCTTAATAAGAGGCGTGTGATGCACTACACACACTCTATGGCATGTGTTGTACTCCATATGAGACTACAGTACTCATCATATTCCAGTCACACACGTGAACACAGCATCACAAGCTGGTGAGGAATCTGGGCCACTGACACAGCGAGAGAGAGAGTTAGTTTGACTCATGACCTCTGAACCTGAGGATGTCTGTAATCGCTTTATCAAACACACGGCAACATCAGTCAGAGGGATGCTGGTGTAGTTACAGCATTGACCTCGTACTGTCCCTCTGACCTTTGACCCCGCAGGCTGTGAAATGGGGTTTCACATGTGTGTGTGTCTCTGATAAAGCTCTGCATTCATGTCATTAGGATTCAGATCAGATTGTATGGTTTTGGACGCTCATTGATTTTGATTTTAAAGCGTGTGTGCTTGTGGAGCAGAAATCGGGTGATTGTTTGGGGCGTCGTGTGTTCGGTCTGTGAGTTCAGCTTTCTCTTCAATAGACCCAATTTATGTTTTAATTACTGGGATTCACCCAGCCGGAGTTCACACACACACACACACAAACACACACACACACACACACACACACACACACACACACACACACACACACAAGCTGGTGGTGGGGTTGTTGTCGTATTAATGAATTATAATGTGGTGTAAGCTTTCTTCCTGCTGGAGTGAGATGAGCTGTTTAATACCTGCTGGACAGACTTTATTAATGAGGCTTTAATCTGACCAGCACGTTTGTGACGCTGAGCTCATAAATATCATTGACAGCTATGATTAGACCTCATCAATACAGACTATAACTCTCAGTGCAATTAACAGAGCCAATGCTAATACTTCAAAATGAACCTGTGAATGTATGTGGGTGAGCACGTCTTCGACATTCCAAATAAAAAAGCACACATTTTCATTTTATAATGCCGTCTTAATGCTCTTCTTCCTAGTATGTGCATTTTAAAAATGTTTTCCCGATGAATCCTGGACTCCTGCTCAAAATGAATTAATATAAGGACAGCTACAAAAAAAAAACAATAAGCCCGCGAAGCTGTTATCGTTCCATCCTGACGAATGACAGCCGTGACAGCTAGTGGAATCCCGGAAAATAAACCGTGGAACTTTGACCAATGAGACAACAGTTTACTTATGCGTGACTTGTATTAACAAGTTTGGTCTGTTTAGAAACTTTGCAGTGTGAAAGCAAACCGCACCAAGTATAAAAAGCAACATTGTAATAAGTTTAATCCCTGTTTCGGAACAAAGCAATCGATCTACAGGTGTGAAAGCACCCTAAAACACAGCACAGGTGAGTTAGATATAGGGTCACTTCATGTGTTTTCTCTGATTGGATAGCTATCTGATCGTGAAAAGACCAGGTGTAAATGCCCTCTGAAATGCTTTTGAGACAGATTTAAATTTGATTGCTCAAACCACATCAGAAGGTATTTGATCTTGAAATTAGCTGATGATGAATAAGATGCCGCGCTCATCTGTTGCTTTCGTTGATGTGAACTCCTTTAAATTAGCATATCATATAGCGCAGAATTGAAGACCTGATTTATATCCGTTTTGCAAAGACACATTTTTGTGGCCAAGCATAAATGGAAATGTTTTAACAAATCATATAGCTATCCGATCAGAGAAAACTCATGAAGTGACCAGGTGTAAACAGACCCATAGAGAAATATAACTGAGAAATACAGCTCATATCACAAATTAAATGATTTAATGGTGAAGTGTTTCATTTTTTTCAGTAAATAAATATATAGTTTAGTCATGAAACTCTAGATGGCGCAGGCTGATGGGTTGTTAATGTAACGAATATTATTCAGAGAGTTAAACGACTTGGCACAAGCTGATTGGTTCATGTTGCATATGTAGCCACTGAGCTTACTGCCTTGCATTTATATGGCTGGCTAGCATTCACTTGAGATTCCTGCAGCGCACTTTCAGAGTTTCTCTGAAACCCTCCACCTTCCCCAGCTCCACCTGTATAGATCTGCTACGGGTTATTTTATATGCTATTTGTGCAGCAGCAGTATGTCTTAAATACTCACGGCACCGTATCACCATATGCATTGGCAGTAGCAAGCTCCTGTACTTGCTTGCAGCAGCAGCAATAATCTACAACTACAGCAATAACCAACAGCAGCAGCAGCGTAGCAGATCTATTCTGCCAAGACCAAATACATTAACATTGTCATATCCATCACCATGCTAAAATCTTCCAAGAGTTGTCATGATTAAACTGTATTCATAACTAGAAGTCATGGGTAGTTTGACGTCCTAAAAGGCAGCTGGGGTTAGTTTCTGTATGAAATGGTTTCCAGAATAAAAAGCTGTTTATTTTCTCAGATGTTTAAACATCCAAGATGTTATTAAGAAAAGCAATATAGAAACAATATAAAAGCCATTTTCATTTTAGAAGTCATTAATTTAAATATTTTAATTTATTTTATAATGATGATGATGATAATAATAATCATCAACATCATCATTGTCGTTGTTGTTTTACTGCCCAAATTCAGCAGTGATGCCCAATCCCATACTGTAAATCTTTGCAAATTTTTTTTCTAAACAAACTAGTTTACTGTAATAATCAGAGACACACATCATACAAAAACACTGGCTTAAACAGTCTTAAACATTTTTAATGAGAGTGATTTTAATGACTTTTTTGGTATTTGTAGTCAAGATTTCTCTGTCATATTCACCGTCTTGTACTATTTCTGCTGAGTTTGTTGCAGTGCACTCTGGGCAGATGATTGAGTCTTTAGCATGATGGTCTCTTGAACCTGTCTGTGATGTCTTTCAGTGCTGTCTAGGTAGGCGGCTCACTAGGGTTCGAGTCTTTGTGAAAGACTTGTAGCCACTGACTTCCATATATATGTATTTATTTATTGATTTCTTTCCATACACTCTTAAAAATAAAGGTGCTTCACAATTCCATAAAAAAATCATTTTTTGTCTAAATGGTTCCAAAAAGAACATGTAGAACCTTTCTGTTTCACAAAAGGTTCTTTGTGGTGAAAGAAGGTCCTTCAGATTATAGCACTTCTGCGGCATTAGAATGCTTTTCTCCATCTTTCTGTCGTCCGGTGTCAAAGTGGCTCTGGAAGCTGTCTTTGCCGGGCTGAGCAGTTCTTTCTGTCGTTCTGTCTCTCGTTACGCACGGTGATCCGTCTCCTCCACGACTGCTGCTGTCACCGTGGAAACTGTCAATCAATCGCATCGACAGCTGGAGAGAGCGAGTTACAATAATACAGTCAAATCTGCACTCAGACGCGCCAGAACTGAAAGCATTTTAGATCAAACTCATCGAAAGCTTTCCAAACCGGATATCCTTTGCTGTTTTCAAACCTGTTTAAGGGTAGACGACAACATTCTCATCAATTAATTTTACTTTTAAGATAATAAAGTTTTGCTGCAAATTCAGGTTTCTTGTTGAAATCTAGTAGGCCTAATCAAATGAGGCAGATGTGAACAAAAGTAGACTAGATAAGGAGTAGAAAAATCTTATCAATTCTTATGCTCCCAAAAAGGTTTGTTTGTTTATTTATTAATTGAATCATTACTTCATTGACATTTGTTGCTCTTGTGTGGTGAACAGAGGGCATTTATTTCTTAG